TCCAACCTCTCCGGGACATCTATAGCACCCCGCCTCAGGTCTGGGAAACTTAGGTACAGGCACTCAGGAAGCTAGATACAACAGGGTCAGGCTTTGGCTTGTGCTGTCTGGGGCCTGGTCATGCCTGCCACACTGTGATATACTCAGGCATGGTAAACTCCCTCTGACCTACCTGGGAGGCTATTAGCACCCCAGCACCTGGGCTAGCCCCTAGCACTGGGAGGTACTGCCCAGTGGGTGTGTAATGAATGAGGGAACAGGTAGTTGGGAACATGGGTCCTGCCCCAGCCATTCTGCAGCTGTTTCCTGAAACCTAAAGGTGCAGCCACCCCTCTTCTAGCCACGGTGACCCCCAGCACCCTGTTGTCCAGACAGCCCTAGGGAGGGAACAGATCCATAAACATGAGGCTCCCCAAGGGCTCAGGAGGGGCACTGGGCGCTGTACAAGTCCTCAATATTATTGCTTTATTGTCATTTAAATGGAGCCTGCCTCAAACAGGCCACCCAGTTCTAGCCACCAGCGCTGGACAAAACCTCCATTGAAAAGCCAATTACAATCACTCCATCTAAATTGTCATGGATTTGTATAGAAAATTACATCTCCATTTAGTCCTGAAGCAACGTCCTGGGCATGGACAGAGGGGAGGCTGGCCCATTTACCTCGCCAGCACAGCGCGGGTGCCGCAGGCAGAGAGAAAGCCCAAGCTGCCGGCCTTGGCTAGCCCAGGAACAAAGGCCAGTTTGTGGGGGCCCAAAGAGAAGCTGGGCCTCTGAGGGCGTCTCAGATTCCAGGCCTGGGCCGATGGACCCTGCACTGCCAGCTGGTCTCCCCTGCTGGAAGCTCTGGCCAGACAAGCTTCTGACAGCCGGCTTTAGGCGGCCATCAGCCCTGCCACTATCCAAGGGGCCTGGAGCTTGGCTCATGTCCACACTGCCAGGAAATGAAGGAGGTTAGCCTGGAGACCACTTGCCTAGTATCTTGAGAGTGTGGGTCATCCGTCCATCCATCCATCCATCCCTGTTGCTAAAGGATCTTTGGGCAGTATGAAAAGAATAGTTATGTAGAAATCAGCTCCAGCCTCAGGTGTCCTGGGTTCCAATCCAGACTCTGCCCTTAGTAGTATTTTCAGTCCTGAAGCAGTTGCTGAGCACCTATTCTATGCCACAGACTAGAACATGGCTGAACTAAGGACAAATTGCTGAACTCGTGGCAAAATGCTGCCTCTCCTTGTCCCTTAAAGCCAAAGGGAGATGTGCTCTTTTGTGAATGACCCAGACTCTGAGCACATGAACAGGGGCTGCCTGGGTTTTGTGGAAGAGGCATGTGAGTTCTAAAGGAATAAGGCAGAAGGGCCCTCCAGGCTGAGGAAACAGTGCGTGTTGGGCTGGCTGGAGCGGCAGAGTGGGCCACTGGTGCCTCTGTGGGCTGCTTCTCCAAGAATTGGTTCACTCATCTGTACTGTGTGTGTGCTGCTGCTGTTCTTACTAGGGTTAGTCCGGGGCCCTGCCCAGGCAGACCTCAAAGAGTATTTGTGGACACACTCATACTCACCTTGGGTGCATGTGTGTGGAGCCAGGGGTTCTTTCTGTGAGTGTGACTGCATTCAGTTGTGTGTGAGACTGTCCCATGACTCCATGTGGTTGTGTGACTGTGAGGTCATGTGTTCATGTATGTAACTGTGACTGTTATCATCTGACAGTCACTAACATTTCCAGTGGCCTTGTCCCCACACAGTGCTCTCAGACCGGCTGTGCGTGGCTGGGTCAGACTGTGTGCCGTGGCCTAACCCTTGTCTGTCTGGGCCCAGCTGGGACAGCTGGCAAGCACAGAAGCGATGCTAGGGCATGACAGGTGGGTGCAGTAGGTAAGGAGGGCAGAGTTCCCATCCTCCCCCACCCAGCCCTACCAGGTAGACTGGCCAATGCAAAAACCACCCCATCAGGAACTGCTCTGTGTACAGAAAACACGTTCTTCTGGTATCAGCTCAAGTTTGGCAGGAAGTGGCTTTCTGGGTGGCAGGAAGTTGGATTCAGCTCATATCAGCACCAACCGAGGGAGCAGGAGAGAAGTTATCTAGGGTTAAACAGAGTTACCAAGAAGAGGGGCCCCCAATTCCCCATACTCGATAGTGTTGAGGGCCAGCCTACCCCTCCTGGTCTTTTGGGATGGGGATGGTAGAGGGTTGGAAAGAAGAGTTGCCCCAGTCAAGTACCTACTGGGTCTAAGACCCAGACAGCCCATTATCCCTTTTTGGTCTATTTGTAAACGCAGACTTGACCAAGGTCACCAAAGCAAGGGGCTCACAGTTACCTAAAGATATGAAAACCCAAGCAGAGGAACAGAGAAGATGCAGCTGGGACAGAGCTGGTGGGACCCAGGCACGCAGAGCAATGAAAAGTGTCAGCAGAGACCTGTAGTGTGCCCACAGTGTGCAAGGCCAACCCATGCATGCCACAACTGATCGTGAGGTTCCCAACCCATTTTCCAGATGTGAAGCCAGTAAGACCAGAGTGCCTCACATGATGAGCCAAGCCTGGAGTCTAGGGTTGCTTCTTGAAGCACAGTTTGTTTTCTGGTCACTTCCTGTGCCTAGCTTCTAGGGAAGCACAGTGGCTATCTGCAAAGTGATGCCTGCTGAGGAGTTGACCCTGTTGTCCAGTGGCAAGCCAGGGTCAGACTTGAATAGGGTGGCTCCTTTTACCATGCAGCAGGGAATGTTCAGCCCTGGCAGTGTAGAGAGAAAGTCAAGGCCCTGCCCTTAGGCTGGTACTCAGCCACTGGAATGGGTTCTGTGACTGGCCAGGAACGGAGTTCTCCTAAGGCCCAGCCCTAGACCAGCTGTGTCCCTGACCCCTACTTGAGCCCCTGGCAAGGAGGCTGCTGGCCTTGTTCTCATCCCAAAGCAGCACCAAGCTGTTCTCTGGCTGAGATGCTGATTTGAAACTCAGTTTGCATGTCGTTTGCACATTACTCAGTGTGTGTCAGAAGGTACGAACATCTCCCTTTCCGGGAGAGGGCTGCCTGCTGGAGGCCCCCCTGCCCTCCTCCAGACAGCAAAAATGCCAGCCGGCTAGACGGGAGCTACGCCCTGGCCTCTGACAGCACCCGCCTGCTGCCACCTCCCCCATTCCCTCCTCGAGCCAAATTTAGGCTGCTCTGCTACTGAGAGACGGGGAGAGAGGAGGCAGGAAACCCTGAGATGGAGGCTGCTAAGCCAAGGCCCATATAGGGTGGGGCTGCCCCAAGGGTACCTCTGTCCCTAAATCCCTGGGCCTAGCCTCTCCCCTCTTTTCCCCACTGGAATGAAGCCCAATTGGGGAACACTGGGTTCTCTGACACAGCTCAGGATGCTGTCTGCATTGTCCATCATGGATGAGAGAGAGAGAGAGAGAGAGAGAGAGAGAGAGAGAGAGAGAGAGAGAGAGAGAGAGAGAGAGGTCATGGCCAGGGCAGTAGGGAAGAGATCAAATAGCATCCTCCTACCCCAGACACTTGCCGCCACAGCCACTGACATTGGGTCCCAAGAGCTGGCTTTGCTTATCTGCACTTCCTGCCTTTCCTTGCCCAGCTCTGAGCCCAGCTGAGTTTGAGGGGACTGACCTCTTTCCCAAAGGTTCCATCACACCATGGACCAGCTTCTTGTCTTGGTTTGTCTTAGTTTTTCTATTTGGGAGACCGGGAGAAGAATGACTTCCAAGTGGCTGTCTGTGCTGAGACCTAGGGTTTCTGAAAGACTAGACATAAATTAGGAGCAGTGGCTTCAGGCCTAGAAGCTTGCTGGATTTTTCAGTGACTAAGAGAGGTGGCTTGTAACAATGCTGGGGACAGGGCTCGAGTAAGCTGAGCCAGGAGAAATGGGAAAGACGTGAGCTGGATTGCAGCCACCTCAAATCCAGAGGTGGAGCAATAGGTTCCAGTAGCTGAGGCCTGGGTGCTAGAATAGGGCTGCCTGGGTTTGAAGCCATCGTCAGTTTTCTGCATCTCTTTCCTCACCTGTAGCATGGGAGTAATAAATGAGGCAGTGAATGTCTGGCACATAGTAGGTGCATCACGATGCCAGCCACCAGAGCACTTGGGAGGTTCCAGGGCTGTAACAGATATGGATATGAAGGGAAGGCATTGTGGCTCCGTGGCCAAATGGAAGCCATCAGGATGGGTGTTCAAGTCTGCGTGACCCTGGGCAAGTGGCCACACCCCGCTGAACCTTAGGAGAGGAGCAGCGAGGCGCTTACCTTGGAGGGTCTGGGAGGACTGCTCGAGCTCAGGCTTGGCACAGCGCCTGGCACATAGCGGGCAGTCCCCGAAGGATCCAGTGGTACCGCCCCGCACAAAGGACAGGTGGGCAGCGTTGGGATGGAGGGCGGAGCAGGGCAGGTGTGCTGAGAGCCAGAAGGCGGGGCAGGAGCCGGGAGGGAGAAGGTGTACGGGCGCGCGCGCAGCAGGTGCGCGTGGGATGGGCGGGGCCCTCGAACGGGCGGGGTCTCCAGGTGCTCGGGCACGCGCTAGGAGGCGGGTGCCCTGGGCGCACGGCCGCAAAGCGTCCCTGTGTCTTTAACGCCCCCCTCCCCGCGTCCCCCCACCCCTTTGTGCACCCCCCTAGCCGGGCTGCAGCCGCGGAGCCGTCCCCCCTGCACTGACAGCTGGTATCTAATTACTGTGTGAGAATGGAAAGTCAGGCTGTCCCAGCTCCGGGGAGAGGGGATTAACGTCTCCTGCAGAATACACTTCCTCTGGTGGGTTGCCATGGTTACTCTCATTACCTGCCTGCCCGGGAGGAGCCGTGCGAGCCGCTCCAGCAGGCCCTCCGAACCCGGGCCGGTACACGCACGCGCGCGCGCGCGCGCCTGTCTCCCCGCCCCTTCTCTCCGGGGGCGCACGCGCGTGCGCCGTGGGGGAGAGCGAGCGGTCTCACCCCTGCCCCTCATCCCGCCCTAGCAGCTGTCAGCGGCGCGCGCGGCCCGCCGGCTCCTGCGCGCGCTGTCAACAGTCATTAGCGCGCGGGCCGCGCCCCTCCCCCTCGGCCCCCCAGCCCGGGGTGGGGCCCGCACCTGGGGCCCCCTGCTCGTTAGCGCACCCGGGCCTCCCGCTTAGGTCCGGAGGGACCTGTCGGGCTCAGAGACGCCTCCTTCTTCCTTGAACCCATTCAGCGGTCCGGTCCCCAGTCCCAGCCCTCGGCTGAGACTCCCGAGGGAGGCGGGACCCCAGAGTCTGAGGGCGCCCCTCCTGCAGTGGTGACGACAGCGGTCATTTATGAATGTCTCGAGAGGGCAGGCATGTTTGTGCTTCACTTGTGGTTACCGCAGCCCTCCTGTGAGGTGGTGAAAGCCATGGTGCCTATGGTGTCATTTCACACTTGAGGAAACTGAGGCGCAGCCCCTCCTCATCCGAGGGCAGGGCTGGATTGTCTTCAGGCTCTGACTCACCTCTAGGAGCACTCCTATTGCTCAGATCAGCCAGACCCCTGCAGCCAGTCCCTGACCCTGCAGTACCTCCCAAGGGAGGCTCCTTCTCTGCTTGTCACTTATTCCCCAGCACGTCTCTCTCCCAAAAGGGTTGCTTTGGCCCGCTGCACTCCCTCCCCTCCCCTTACCCTGTCAGGAACCCCAGAGTTAAAGCCAAAAGAAAGAAAGAAGAGCAGAAAAGGAAAAGGCTACTGGGAGCAGCTTGAAGGATGTGGCACCTCGCTGTGGTTTCGGGGTCCATCCCAGGCTCTTTCTCTGTGGCCCCGGGTGTGCATGTCGGTCCTCGGCGTGATTTGAAAGAAGATAGAGGTTCAGCGAAGCAGAAAGGAGGTCTTGGAATATGTGAGGCTGTTCCAGATGGCAGGTGCGACTCGATGGCAGTGCTCCGCACTAACAGTTGGAGATTGAGCACTGGGTGGAGAGGAGGCAGGTGCTACATTGAGCCCTTAGTGCCTTGCTTATGCATTTATTTATGGGTGTGGGGGGCTCCTCCCATTGCCCCATCCAGGTCTGCAGAGCTCAGTGGCACTGGAGGGCAGAGAATTCCAGTGTGAGCCTTGCTTTGAAGGGATTTCTTGTTTTCAGTTAGGTTAATATTTACAGTCAGGAGAAGTAAAAATACTGTCACTTGTATTTGAGCAGGGCCCTCCTTGGCCATCTGATTGCCCCTTACAAATCATCAGCAGTTTTTCTTGGGGCTCTGAGAGAGACCTTTGGAGGTTTGGGTGATGCTTCTTCATTCTACTTTTCCAAGTCTCTCAGTTTTCTGTGCTTTTACGATCTCTCCACCTCCTTACCCCTCTGTGCGTGGCTCCTCTGCTGGGGTGAGAGTGGGGATGACTCCTCACCTTGGTTCTTTTAGCTCCACCCAGGACTGGAATAAGACCTTATCCTGAAGCTTCCCAAACTCAAGTCTTGGACAAACTGATTAAAGCTAGGAGCAGGCCTGAGAGGAACATGCCCAGTGTCTTTTGCTGTGTTCTCAGCCTCATTATGGGCTGGCCTAGATGGGATGGAGCAGCATCATTGAGTTTGCCTGTGCAATCAACCCCCTGAAGTCCCAAACTCCCACACAAGTGGAAGCCAAAGGTTTTTCCCCTGGGGTGTGTTCTGCTGACTGATGCTGGCCTCTAGTAGCAATCCCGTTGATGTTCATGCCTCGTTAAGAGTTGGATCTGGAATGCACCAAGAGTGCATATTTTAAGGACTTTCTCCATGGTTCCTTCCTCTCCCTTAGGAGGAACCCACTTGAGAAATGCCCCTGCTGTTTAGCAACCTCCTCTCAACCATGGCCTCCTTGTGGCTGGAAAGCATAGTCCATTGTAGTGATGAAGCTATACTAAAAGGTGCCCAGTGGCTTGAAACAATGTTCCCATCTTGATAAGTATGTAACCTATTGCCAGCCAGCAACTTCAAAGTTGTTGAGATGATGCCATTCATTAGCATTTGTACTGTACTTGCTATCAAGGCCAGGGGTCCATTTAATTGTCTTCTGTAGGAAAGGGACAAGATTCCATCAGAGGCCTTGACCTAAGGGATACCATGAGATCACCTGGCAGGAGCCTAATGGCCTGCTAAGACCCACTGTTTCCTCTCATTGGTCTTCAGCCCTGTATAAAAGAATTCCCTTTTGTTAAAGAATCCAAGGAATCCAGAAGACACCCGCCAAGATCCTCCTAAAGGAACTTTGCCAAGAAGCCAAAGTTCAGGGTCAGGCTTGTGGGGGTGGGGGGTGGGGGGTGTCCTTGAATCTATAGTAACATTGCCCAGTAAGAGTCTTCTTTTCCACACCCTGTTAGGAAAGGTAGCCTTCGCTAGAGATGAAAATATTAACACACATGGCCTGGAAGCCCAGAATGTGGTGGCTGTATTTAATGATCCAATGTCAGTTTCATTACTGCCTGCCTTCATATCTTAATCATGGAGATGTTATAATCAGCATTTCTCAAAATCTCCTTGCATTATACTCATTTTGGGATGGACTTTTTAAAACCTCACAACAAAGACTTGGTAGGCTGAGGTAGACCATGAAAATATGTGGGGTTTGTGTTTGTTTGTTTTTGGAGATAGAGTCTCATGTAGCCTAGGCTGTCCTTGAGTTCCCAATACAGTAAAAATGTAGCTTGGACTTCTGATGCTCCTGTCTGTGCTCTGTAAGTACTGGTATCATGGGTGTACGTCACCATGTACAGTTTAAGTGATGCCAGGGATTGAACCCAGGGCTCTCTGATCATGCTAGACAAGCACTCTACCTACATCCTCAGCCCCCAAACACATTTTTAACAACTGCTTGTATGATTCTTTTTATATAATTGATGTTATTTTATGTGAATTAGTGTCTTTCTGGCATGTGTCTGTGTGAGGGTGTTGGATCCCCTGGAATTGGAGTTACAGACAGTTAGTGAGCTGCCGTGTGGATGCTGGGAACTGAACTCGGGTTATCTGGAAGGACAGCCTGTGCTGCTGAGCTATCTCTCCAGCCCCCCATTTTTAATTATTGTTTGTTTGTCTGTTTTTGTTTTTCAAGACAGGGTTTTTTTTTCTTTGTGTAGCCTTGGCTGTCCTGGAACTAGCTTATGTAGGACCCACACTTGGAGGACCAGAATTCTAAATATTTTGTAATATCAGTTACATGTAAAGTAGACATTTTGTGATAGCTTCAGTTGTTTGCAATCCAGATTTTGGATCAGAATTCAAATGGGCTGGCTTTAAGGGAGTTGGCAACATCTAAGAAAGTTGGTAGTTCTACAATTTTGAAATGAATGCTATGTCCACTTAGGTTTGCTTGGTTCTAGTTGGTTGTTCTGGAGTTGGATGGTTCCGGAGTATGTTACCATGGCAATGTTCTTCCATACAGAGAAAAAATTCTCAGTGACCTGGTATTTTTTCATGTCCTTTCCCATGAAATGCTATAGAGTTCCTTTCCATCATTTCTGCCTGGTATTTCTGGGATAGTCAAGGGAATCCAGGTCCCTTCTGACCCAGTCCTATAAGTAAAATGAAGTCAATACAGTGAGTAGTTTGTTTAGAGCAGTGGATTAAAGGATGCTGACTTGGGTATTAGGCAGAAGTGAGCTAGCAGGGGCATCCCAATGCTAAGGAGGGGACTGGAGATCCTCCTTAGGGGCAGAGCACTTGCCTGGTGTGTACAAGGCTCTGGGCTCAAAATCATCAGTACAGGGCATGGGTAGGGATTGGACAAGGCTATCGGGAAAGACACTTTGTGTTCCCTTAATTAGCAGCTCTCTCATATTCCTGTCTGCATTCTGAGCAAGGGAAGGCATGCCCCTCCTGCAGCATTTACCATAAAGGTCATTACCTTCATGGACGCAGAGCCTGTGACTGCTGCCAGATCGCCTTGTTACCATCTTCCTGGGGTTCTCCTTGAAGGCCAGATAGACATTCTGGGGTTCTTCCTTTAGGGTGTTAATGCACACAAGGTCCAGGTGCAAACCATGTGTGAACTGAGATCTGTTTGTTACAGGCTCTCCCCAACCAGAGATAGAACCCAAGGTTGAAAATAAGCAGTGTTTTGTTTTGTTTTAATAAGGTCTTCCTCTATGGCTCCCTGTGTGGTCTGGATCTCACTATATAGCCCAGGCTGAACTTGGCCTTGAACTCCTTCAGCCTCCGCAAGTGCTGGGATTACAGGTGTGTACCACCATGCCCAGGGGAGCAATCAGTTTTTAAAGAGGGAGTTACTGATAAATGCTCCCTTGAAGTTTCCCTGGGATAATTTAATGATCACACTGGACCAGGCACAAAGCCACTGCTAACCCAAGTGTACCTAAGAATAGAGGTAGGCGGCTAGGCCAGGGACATTCATTTTGGGATTTTTTTTTTTTTTTTTTTTTTCTGTTTGTTTGAGACAAGGTCTCATTTTTGTAGTTCTAGCTGGCCTGGAACTTAATATGTGTAGGCTGGACTGGCCTCAAATCCCCAAACGCTCCGGGGCTAGAGAGATGGCTCAGAGGTTAAGAACACTGGCTGTTCTTCCTGAGGGCCTTTAATTCAATCCCCAGCAACCACATGGTGCTCACAACCATCTGTAATGAGATCTGGTGCCCTCTTCTGGCCCACAGGTACATATACAGGCAGAACACTGTATACATAATAAATAAATAAATAAATAATTTTTAAAAAGTCACAGAGATTCACGTGCCTCTTCCTCCTCAGTGCTGGGATTAGTGGTATTCACCACCACACCTGAGACCATTGGCTGGAAAAACTTAACTGTCCAAGTTGGAGGAATTAAGTAACTATTTAGGAATTATTTAGGAATTAAGTAACTATGCATCTCTACTGGATGTGGGTATTACCTCATGTGACCCAGTTCGTTCGTAGTGACCAGATGAGTGATAAAAGCAGATTCCTAAACACAGGGAGTCTGGGCTCAGTGAGTCCAGAGGGAGGAGGTGAACATTTACCAAGTGTCATGTGCCAGGTGCCTCTCACAAACTCTTACTCACATTTTCTTTTTCATGTATGTATGCCCTGTACATGTGTGTGTTTATGTGTGTGTGTGTGTGTGTGTGTAGAAGACTGAGCCTGATATTGAAATTATTTTTGTTGTTGAAATTCTTGCTTGTTTTTGTTTTGAGACTTGGTATCACTGTGCAGCCCTGGCTGGTCTGGGACTCATTATGTAGTCCAGGCTTGCCTCAGACTCAGAGCTCTACCTACCTCACCCAGCAATGTCTTTCTAAATAAATTCACTATAACTGAGCTTGGGCAAACAAAAGTAACCCCAGAACTTTAGAAGTGAAAACAGGGGAGCTAGAGAGATAGTGATTAAGAGTACCAGCTATCCTTCCAGGGGATGTGGGTTCAATTCCCAGCAAATGTGGCAGCTCACAACTGTATTTAACTCCAGTTCCAGGTTATCTGACACCTTCTTCACATATGCGGTACATGTATATATCCATGCAGACAAGACCAAAAAAACAAAAAAACCAAAACTAAATAAATCTTAAAAAAAAAAAAAAAAGTCTCTGGGCTGGGTGATGGTGGTCCACACCTTTAGTCCCAGCACTTGGAAGGCAGAGGCAGAGGGAGCTCTGTGAGTTTGAGGCCAGCCTGGTCTACAGAGTGAGTTCCAGGACAGCCATAGTTATTATACAGAAACCCTGCCTCAAAACTAACAAACAAACAAAAAAATGAAGACAAGAGGATCAGAAATTCAAGGCCTGTGTTAGCTACACAAGGAGGCCAGCTTGGGCTACATGAGACTTTGTCTCAAAAAACTATCAGTGTATTATAACTGACTGTCACAATATTTGACCTGTTTTAACTCTATCAGGATAGTTTTTGAAGATCCTCCAAATGCTGGTAGTTACCAGTCAGCTAATGAACAAACTCTGGCTATTGTTGAGCCTTTAAAGACAGTTTAGGACTTAAGAGGACTGGGATCCCCTGAGAAGGAGGTAAACGTGAGTTCTGGCAAGTGTGAACCTGAAAAAATGCGTAATGTCATAGCTCATCTCATAAGTGACCATCAGGGAAGCTGGAAGTTTGCCCACAGTTGCAGAGATGTGATGATGGGCCAGCAAGCAGCTTTCCTGCACCCATGCACTGTACACAAACATATGTGCTTACCCAGATGCCTGCTGTTTGAGAAGTCCCTACTGAAATAGGTCCTGGCTGGCAAGAGAGCTGTATCAGGCAGGTGAGATCATAGCCCAGAGTCATCGTGGAGAGATGTTGCCCAAGAGTTTCAGGGTTCAGCAGCCCACACCACAGATGCTCCACGCAGGCCCGTGGCACAAAAACTTTCCCAGTTCTGCCATCACTGCATGTCTGTCTGGAAAACCAAGGGATAAAACGAAAGCCTGTCTGTTGCATGTTGCTGAGGTCTGTATTCTCCTTCAGCTGGAAAGTCTGAGGGCCTAAGCGTCCTGCTCCCAGGCAGTTGGCAACCATCACAACCACTCAGGGTTATAGTGTTCAGCTCTATCATATACTCAGAAACTTTGCCAGCCACAAATGCCCTTTTTTTTTTTTTTTTTTTTTTTTTTTTTTTTAAATACAGGGTCTCTTTTCTTTAAGTAGCCCTGGATGTCTAATTTGCTATGTAGACTCACAGACATGCATCACCACACTCACACCAAAGCATCTCTTAATAACTGTGCTTATGGAAATAGCTCTGCCTGTCAGGCTTGGTACAAAGTTCTGTGCCATATCTCATTTTGTCCTCACAGAAGTTTGTAGGCAGCCAGGCAGTATTGTTGCACGCCTTTAATCTCAGCACTCAGGAGACAGAGGCAAGCAGACCTCTGCAAGTTCAAGGCCAGCCTGGTCTACAAAACAATGGAGTGCTTTCTTCCCCTCTTATAGATGAAGGGTATGAGGCTCAAAGATGCAAGAAAGATAGCTGACTACTTGGGGCCATGCATCACCTACATGGTGGGGTAGCATTTGTCCAAACCACACTGCTCTGCTGCTGCCAGCCAACTGCCTGCTTAGCAGCAGGTGTTTATCAATCACCTACCATGTGCCAGGCATTTTCCTTGGTGTGAGCCAACAATCCCACACCTCCACAGGGCTGCTGTCCTCAAGCCTGCATCCTCTGGGGAAGGACTGTCTTGGAGCTTTATCTTTTGGGGGCATCATCCAACCCCTTTCACACTATTTGTTCTTGATCTCTGAAGCCCCCAGGGCCTTCCCAAGCTTCCCAGAGGGAGATGATGGCTGAGAGCAGGTGTCCCCAGATCCATGGGTCTGGTATTCTGTGGACCATGAAACACCTTCATGGCACACTGACCTCGCCTAGAACTTGTGCTCTGGAGTCTCCCTGTGGCCTCCCTCCTCAGGGGTGCAGTAGCTGTTAGGGGTGGGGCACTGGTGCCTCCCACGTCTCTTTGCTGTTAAGCATTCAGTCTCCATCTTGGCATACCTTGTTGGGCCAGCTGACAGCACTCAGGCTAGCCTGATAAGAGGCTTGGGGCCCATAGTCATCAGGCTCCCGGCCTTGCCGTGTCCACATGGCCTCCAGCCTGTTTTTCTGGGCATCTCCCCACACAAAGAGCCTGGGTGCTGTGGCTGGCGTTCAGCTGCTGGAGTGGGGAGGGAGGAAAGCAGGGGAAAGAAAGCTTTTCAGAAAGGACTGGCTGAAGGCAGGAGCCACCCAGGTGATGGGAGCTGGTCCCCTGGGACCCTAACCCAGGACCACAGTGAAAGGTTACTGCTAATTGGCAAGCTCCTGATGGGGCCGCATCTATTTAGCACTCCCCCTCCCCAGAGACTTCTAGGATGGTCTTGGCACAGCGTGTGATTTGAGAGCTCTCTGGGAGTCTGGCACAATCTGTCTGAATTGTGAACATTGAGCCTCTTGGTTTCCTAATTTGTACTTGTGTTGTCGTGTTTCTCTCCCATTGTTGCTGGTAAATTTAGTAGCCCCCTCAGCCACCCTGACTCTGGTACCCTCTCCCCAGATCCAGTGGACTCCCTCTTCTCCCCAGCCCCTAAGCTAGACTGTCTGAGGCCATGCCGGGCCAGGGAGCAGCAAAGTCCCTGCCCCCTTCCCCTGACCTGTGGCCTGGCCTCAGGGCCTAGCTCTCACCCGCCATCAGCCCTGACACTAACACGGCTTGTCCACCCTGTCACAGGGGGCAGATGGCCTGTCGGAGCCCGAGGGCATCTCTCTGAAGCGGGTTGCTGTGGTGGAAGATTTCTTTGACATCATCTACTCGATGCACGTGGAGAGCTCCGCAGAGCCAGGCAAAGCCCCCAAGCACGCTGGGCAGAAGAAAACCTACCGAGCGGTGAGATTTCTGTCTCTGCCTCTGCTGGCAGCCCCAGGCCTTGGCAGGAGGCCATGGGCTCCGCACATGTTGGGCGGGAGGCGGGGCAGGGAGCTGAGGCGTGATGAAGCGGCCTTTGGGGATCCAGGGGGGCACGGGGCAAGGGCATGGCAGCCAGAGATGGCTCATAGGGTGAGGGGCGGGCTCTGCGGTCAGAGCACAAAGGAGAAGCAGGTTGAAGGGAGGGTGAGGGAGAGAAGGAGAGGGGTTGGGCAGGGCAGAGAGGAAGCCCTCCTTCCCCAGTTTCAGCCTCTTGTAGCCTGCTGGGGGAAGCACAGATAATAAGAATCATCGCAGGGACCAGTGTTTCCACAGCATGGCCTGGACTGCTTGCCAGCCTGCCCTAGATGCGTCCTGTGTGTGAGCTTAGCCAGATTATCATGCACTGTAAGCCAGCCCTGTGAGTTCCCCAGAGGCTCTGGGTCTGAGGACCTGCTTCCAACTTTCAGGAGGTCACAGTTTTGGTCCAGAAAGGCCGAAGGCCAAGAGATAAACACAAAAGGAGAAATGCCTCCAAGACCAGCTTTGAGAGAGCAAGAACCCCATAGCTGGGAGCTTCAGCAAGATACTGCTAGCCCTGGACATTTAGTGCTAAGCTTGAGGGGCTTCATGGAGAAGGCAACATGTATACTGGCTACCTTTAGAAGGGCAGAAAGGAATGGAATGGGTCTCTAGAGAAATATTACACACCAGGGAGGTGGAAAACAGGGCTGGGAACAGAGCAGTGACCCCAAGCTTCTGGGGGGGCCCTGCTAGGCAAAGGCCTCCCTCACCTATTGGCCCCACACCTGAAACTGTACCATGGTTCGTGCCCAGGTCTGAGCCCACAAGCCAGACATTTCATTCTCAGTTGAGTCCTCATGGCCATCCTGTGACTGTGGTCCATTTCCTAGTTACAGGAACAGGCCCAGAACCTTGAGTCAGCTGTCCAAGGTCACATAGAACCTGAGCAACAGTCAGCTGGTATCTTCCAGGCTCTGCTTGTTGGTTTTTTTTTCTTTAGAGTCCTATAGATCTATCTTTCTAGGGCCAGGCTTGCCCACCTACACCAGGCATGAATGTCCCAAGCACAATGTGTAGGTAGCCATGGGCTGTAGTAGAGGCAGCCTGTGAAAAAGGTATGATTTCCCCACATGGCCTGATTCACAGAATCCGAAATTCTGGATATTCTTGTCCTCAGATGGTGGCCTTTGTCTGAAAGGGTGTTTAGCTCCTTGCTTTTTTACTATGTCTGTGCACCATGTGAAACCCGTGCCCTTGGAGACCAGAAAACAGCATTAGAGACTAGAGTTACAGACAGTTGTAAGTTGCTGTAAGAGTGCTGGGAATCAAACCCATGTCTTCTGGAAGAGCAGCCAGTGCTTAGTCACTGAGCCATCTCTCTTGAGGATGAGTCCTCTGCTGGGGGTCTCAAATTATGAAGGAACCAAGCCGAGGGCCACAGCTGTCTTCCCATCCACAAGAAGGAAGTCAGACTGAGGGTGTTTTCAAGTGAGTGCCTAGAAGGGAGGACCATCGGTCTGGAGCCAGCAGGGTCCCCTTGGGATTAAGACAGTTCTTGTTGATGATTGAGCCTGCCGTAGTGCTGGACCTCCATGTTGCCAGCCTCCATCCTCAGCCCTTTCCAGTTTCACCTCCTAAGCCAGATCCATGTAAATAAAGGCTACAGGTATGAAGCAGGGACTCCCATGAGCCCCGTTTTAAGGTGAGAGCCACAGCCTGCTTCAGGTTACCCAGCTGGTGCAGAGCCTGGCAACTGACCAGTATCCATCCTTCCTTGCCACAGGTCTCCTGAGGCAAACTGTCAAGCCAGCCACTGGCAGTTGTCAGACAAGTGAGCTTGGCTATCTGGATCTGGTGACTTCCTTGGCCCCTCAGTGCCCAGCAACAAGCCTTGTCCTCGGTGGGGTCTATGGCCTCTGGGACTTGCAGAGGCCGAGGGTGAGTTGGGCAGGTCTTGCTAGCCCTTGTGCTCCTGGGCTAAGTGGACAGCTAGCCGTTCGTACTTTCTGGCTTCTGGTCCATATGCCGCCATGTGCCCCATTTCCCTGCCCAGCCTGGAGCTGGCAAATGCCTGCATGGAGCTGGCTGGGCTGCACACACAGCTGGAACTTCAGTACTGGGCCAAGGCTGAGCCCAGCAGGCCAGGGCCCTCCTGCAGAAGTTCAAGGCCAAGGAGCTAGTGCTCCCCCTTCCCCTCTGTGTCTCCTCCCCCTCCCGCTCTTTCCTGTTTGCCCCCTTTCTTGTGCCACCCTCTTCCTGCTTCTGCAGCAGAGGTGGAACCTGGATGTCTTGTCCTTTCATCTGCTTCCATTTCCCTTGACCCCAGCCTAGCTCCTGAGCCTTGCTCTGCAGGTAGGTGCCCCTCACCCCGCCCATCCACTTTAGAAAGAGCCCCAAGCAAACCAGTGCTGATGGCTGTAGAGGGGCACAGCCTGGCTCTGCAGGGTTTCATCAAGCCCTCGGATGAGCGGGTTTTGGATCTGTCGCTGTGCATTTTGCCAAAACTGAAGCCTGGGCCTGATTTTCCATCTGTACGGCACAAGGACTTTAAAATTCTTACAGTCTTAAGTGCCTAAGGGGTTGGGAGAGAGTAGGGGACTGAGTAGCCTTGTTTAGGGCACTAAAGGAGCCCAGTTCTTCAGTAGAAGAACTTCAGTAGAAGTCTTTCTAGCAACTGAATTAGAGAGGAAGGGTTGAGAGCTTGAGAGGCCTGGAGTTTTTGGAGTCAGGACAGAAGGCATTCCCATTAGATGATACAGGAGGACCCTGCTTTGGAGCAGGGAGCCCCACCATAGCCTTAACAATCAGGGTGACCTGAAGATTCAAGGATCCTAGGAGTGTCGTGGTGCTAAACCCAGGGAAAGTCCCAGGTTGCTTTAGGTTCCCTGAGCCCCTTTTCCAAATGCTTCCCTGATCTCACTCAGTCAGGGTTGGAGGAGCACTTTCCCTTCCTCTTCCCTCCAGGGATGCTGGAGGCCAGATCAGCTTCCAGAGCCCAGATCTGGCTACCCAGGCCACTTTGGAGTTGAGACCAGATGTGGTCAACAGCTGTTCCAGGCCCACCATGTGCTAATCCACCACAGGGCAGAAGGAGGATCTTGTAAAGTAGTGCAAATCCCCTCCCCACCTCACCCCACCTCACCCCACCCACCTCTCCAGGCTCTATTGGTCTCTGAGTTGAGGAGTTGGCCTTGCAAGTCAGTGACTTTGCAAATAGCTTCTGGTCTCCCTGCCTGCGAAATCTTAGTTTTTAACACTGGAAAAAAACAGAAAAGGGAAATCCATGCATGGTTTCTGGGTCCCAGCAGGAGACTCTGAGAACTCAGGGACACTACTGGGGACAGAGACCCTGGAGCAGCTCCTTTGAAACACACAGACAGCTCTCTGGTTCCGTTTTGTACATGTGTGTCTATTTCTAGAACAGGGACTGAAGCCCTTTGAAAGCCACCATCATCCTAACAAGATATTTTGTGAGGATTGCCTTTCTGGTCTCATTTGTGTATGCGTGTGTGTGTGTGTGTGTGTGTGTGTGTGTGTGTGCGCGCGCGCGATGTGTATGTGTGTGCGTGCGTGCGTGCGTGCGTGCGTGCGTGCGTGTAGTCCCATGGGCCTGTAGCATCAAACAGAAGCAGAGATTCCATTTCTGGTCCTGGACCAACCAAAAGGTGAACCAAAAGATGCTGTGGAAGGTGAGAGCATAGGGACTATGTGTTGTCCATATGGGTCCCTCTGGCAGTACAGAACTGATTCTCCAGGCTTCCTTCTACACTCTGCTCCACATTCTGACAGTTCCAAGGACTTGTCACCTCTCCCATTCCCCTGTGGGATCCAGGGCCATAAGATATATCCCCATGGCACAGCCAAGACCAGGAGATCTTGTTGGTCACCACCCCACCCTGGAGTCAGATTCCCGTGCACAGTGCAGTCCAGGCCACAAGAATAGCCATTCTCATCCTGTGTGCAGCCCCAGGGGGAACAGCCAGGCCAAGGGGCTGTTTTTGAGTCCTTGAAAAGTGTCTGTCCAGTGCAGGTGAGCAGGCAAGCTTGATTAGTCTCTGGCATGACCCTCCTCTGCCTTCCAGCTTACTGTAGCTCTCTCCCCCATATCCACTCAGCTCTTCTTTGGGAGCATTATCTCAGGGGAGTCTAGAGCCTCGTCTTTTGGCCAGTCAGCCCCAGCCCCGGCTCTGTCTGGAACTCACGCCTCCCTCTTGCTCTTCTACTGCCCAGCTCACTGTTCCCGACTCAGCATGCTCTGAAAGGGACTTCAGAGCTCCTGGCTAGGATGAAGATGCCTACTTGCCTAGCAGAAAGCCCCCCACCTTCCAGTCCTCATTCCCCAAGTGGGTCAACCTTGTTCTTCTCCTCCACTGTGGCTCTCCCATTTGTGGCTGCAGCCAGATGCTGGGGTTGGCCCTTGTCCTTGACCTCCAGAGCAAGGCAATCATACAGGGGATTTAGAAGGGAGATAGCTCATCAAAGAGACTGCCTGCTCTGCAGAGCATCAAATCAGCTGAGAAGTAACAACTGTGTCACCAAAATTAACTCCAGTTTACAGCTGGCAGGAGTAGCCATGGAACTAGCAGGCCAGCGGCTGGGCTGAGAGCCTTAAAGGCTGGTCCTTAGGGGGCTGCTGCAGTCCGATGTACCCTAGCCTTCTACATAACCCCAGTTCTCCTCCCCTCTAGCAGCAGAGACTCAGAATGTCCACAAGTCCTTGTCCCTAGACCCTATAGAAGCAGAATATGTGCTGGCCATGGGCAGAGAAGGACCCTAACCCAGAGCAGTTCAGAGTGGCCCCAAAAGCCCTTACCCAACTTTCTTGCTGGGCTGTGGTAAGGATGGGAATGCTTGGTGATGTTGCCCCCTAGTGGAGAGGAGCGGGAGAACCGGGCTCTAGGCAGCAAGTCAGGGGATCAGCAGCCAGAGGAAAGGTGGCATCACAGGAACAGCCAAAGCAGAACCAGAGAGTTTCCCAAAACCTAGAGCAAAGTTGACCCCTTACTCTGGGACCACAGCCACCCCTCCCTGCTTCCTACCAGTCGTCTCATTTTCTCTGTTCCATGTCCACCTTCCCTCCCTCCTACGCGCCCTCTTCCCTTAGTATGGGATGGTATGACCTGCAACACTGCCTCGCAAGAGCTGTGTGACCTCAACTGAATCCTTACGACGGGGAGGATGAAGGTCCCCAAGTGGTACAGTGTGGAAAACTGGATACCCCCAAACTGCCCTCCCATAGCTCTGCCTAAAAGGGCTCCTGGTCTGTGAGCTAGCCCAGGACATCAGTAGTAGAGCCTTGGGCTCTGTTCGTAAGCCAGTGAATTTACAAGCGGGTCGTAGTTTATTCATCTCTCAGAGGGGAGGTCGTTATGTTCTAGAGTAATGTCCATAAGCTCACCCTTTAGTGGCAACATGGAATGTTTTAGGGAGACTGTTGCTCAGTAGAGGTTTAAATGCTTTCCGTTTGCAATTTTTAATCTCCTTTATTCGAGTTTTAAGAACCAAGTGGCTCATTTTGCAGCAAGGAATGGAGGCCCTTGGCCTTGTTGTCGCTGGTGACCAAGTTGCCTCCAAGGTGGCACATGATGCGCAAACTGTTTTCTGGCAGATCGCGGAGACCTACGCCTTCCTCCCCAGAGAGGCTGTGACTCGATTCCTCATGAGCTGCACGGAATGTCAGAAGAGGATGCACTTTAACTCCAGCGGCCCGGAGCCCAAAGGTGGGGGCCACTGTCCCACAGCCCCAAGAGCCCTGTTTGCGTTTGTCTAACCTTTTAATTAATTACTTGTTCACTTGCTTGTTTTTGAGACAGTCTCACTGCATAGCCCTGGCTGGCTCTGAACTCTCGCCCTCCGGCCTCAGCGCCTCACGTGCTGAGGTTATGTGTCAGCCACCACACAGCTTATTTATTGTTTGGTTTTGTTTTGTTTTTTTAATGTTAAGTTTCACCTAAGTCAATACCTCATCCATCCTGCCCTTCAAGGCTTAGGCTAGCCTCTTTCCTCCCACCTAGTTTCTGATTAGAAATGGGCAGCCTTCCTGTTCTCTGGGTGCTGCTATCCTAGCTACTTGGCCTTGCCCCTGGGGCTGTTTGTGCACTCAGGTACACATGGACCTGGGTCTCTGAAGAGAGACACACTCTCCATGAGGCATGCTCCTCTTACCTTTGGCCCTTGACACCTGCTAGTGCTGTGCCCTCCCTGAGGTCTGCTCCCTCCCTGTATACACCCATGTGACCTCCAGTCAGTAGAACAGTGAGGACTGATTAGAAGTTATGATTAGCAGAAGTTGCCCCTTGCTCTGTTTGGCCCAGTGAGACCGTCAAGGGTCCCTGTCCAGTATCTTCCTATCTGGTCAACCGTAAGAGCCCATCAGAGCTTGTCTACCTGCAGCTGCTCTTTGACTGTAACACAGGCCAGCACATTTTACATGGTTATCATGGCTGCAGTGTGTCATGGGTTGAGGGACACTGATCAGAGTTCTAGGCCTTCCCTATAACATGCTGTGCCTCTCCTGGCTTCAAATGATGAACCATGGTCAACAGGGAAAAGGAGGTGGGGGGCAGTTGCCCGGCCGTGAGAACGAAGTAGGAATGGAGAATAAGCCACTAGCCAGGTAGAGGTCTAACGGCATCCACCCACCCAGGGAGGAAAAGGCAACCATGTGATGATAGCCAGGTCGCAGGAGCACAGGTGACAGGCAGGGTGTTCCTCTGAGTGCCCCTGAGGCACCTCAGCAACTTTTGACACCAGCTGACTCACCAGGTCTAGAGGCTCTGTTGCCTGGGATCCAGTAGTCTGTGGATGCTTGTCAAGCACATTAAACAGCTTCCAAGGTGTGGGGTCCAGAACCCATGAATGCCTTCTGTTGCTGCGAGCGGGCACCTAGGCCAGGCTGTGTGGGTGTGGGTCTCAGTCTGTGCTTGGGATTACAAAGGGTCCCTACTCGGAGGACTGATAAGACTTGAGAGGTTGTCTGTGAGCCTGGCACAGGGCTCTAGTATGGGAGAGTGACCCTAAGGGATGCTTGTCACACATGGCCTGGCCCCAGGGCCAAGAGAATCCTTAGCCCTGCAAAAGGGCCGGGGGGGGGGGGGGGCTTTACCCTGCTCACTCCCTACACTGCAAGTCTGGGCCCTGGTGCTAGCTGCCTGTATCCTCCTGCCCACCCAAGTATGCTGGTCCTCTCCTGTTCCTGCCCTAATTGTTTCCATAGCAACTGGAGGAGTCAGGCACAAAACTACTGCCGGAAAGAACAGAGGCAAGGCTGCCCTGGGGACTGTGGCCTCCCAGATCTCCTACTCTGCTTCGAGCTGTGAAGAGGGTGCTCCTCCCACAGGCTTCAAGGCCCTCAGGCACTGGGATTTTGTGAAGAGCCCAGCAGCAACTTGCTTCCTCTCTCCACTGGCTGTCTCAGCTTAGGAGGGTCCTTCCTACCCCCAAGACCTGTCTCCACCTTAGGAGACAGCCCCAAGCTCCAGGAAAGAGGAGGAGAAAGGGGGATAGAGATTGCCCACAGCCAGGAACTGTGTAGAATATAAACCAGCTTGAGGAGTGCGTGCTGAGCTTCTCTCCTGGGGCTTATCTTGACAGGAAAGAGGACAGGTGCCTGGCCGTTCTCAGGCCCAGGTAGCTGACCTTCCCGCTACAGAGAGAGGACCACAGGAAATCAGACAGAGCTCATCCCATTGGAAGGAGTGGGCTCCAGGCCAGGGGGACCTGATGTGCAGTCCTGTTCCCTGCGGTGTGTCCCACAGCAGGTTAGGGAACCTCTCTGAGAATCTTCTGCTCATAATAGCCATGAGTTGTCAGTCCTGGAATATAGCCAAGGAAATGAAGACCCAAAGAGGTGCTGGGTGAAATCCCTCATCCTGGCTTCCCTCACCCACCTTGCCAGAGAGGAAAGCAGTAAAACTGGAAGGCAGCAGTGGCGCAGATACACGGGAGGAACCCACTCTGCAGAGCCTGGGGCTCGGGTACCTGGGGAACATGGGCCCATTGTTAGGTTGTGGTGCCCTGGCCCAGGTGGCTTCCCCTTTCCCCTCCACTCTCAGCCAGTGGCCACGAGGGTAAGGTCAGCCCCCAGCCTGAGCAAAATAGCTGGGTCCACCCATATGCTAGACTTCAGAGGGAAGGTTTGGTTTCTGGCCTGCTAGTAGGAAACTGGAGTCTGGAAGGCTACCTCTCTGCACCATGGCTTGAGGCATCAGCCCCTAAATCCTGGCTGCCAGCTTCCTCCCTGGCAGGAGAGATCTCTACCGTCTGTGTTCTCTCCCTGTTGCATCCCTGCCTGCTAGCCCTCCCTTCCCCCAGGGGCAGGGGGACAGGGGACAGGAGACAGGATGGAGTCTCCTCTGGGGCTGCTGGGAGACTGCCCAGCTTCCTGGCCTCATGCTGGAAAGAAAAGGAGGAAGCAGAGTGGCCCCAGTGAGTGGCCTGTCCCCAGCAGAGTGTGGGGCCCAACAGCCCCCAGCTCCACACTCCACAAACAAAGCAAGCTGTAGAGGGTCTGGAAGTCCTCAGATTCCAGGGCCTCCATACCACAACCCCTCCCACCAATCCCAGTGGGAACTCATCCTCAGATTAGCATGACTTCCTGGGCAGAGGAACCTCTGAGGGCGCATTCCTGGTTTCTCCATGTGACAACATACTGTGACACGGTTGCAAACTCTGAGCTGGCGGTGAACAAAGTGGGCTGTGAGACTTCTCTGCAGTTCCCAGGACCGAGCTGGCCCTTCTAGATCCCTCCTTCCTGTGCTTTCCAGTGCTATTCCTGCCCATTGCTCTTCTGTCTTGCCTCCTTGGCTGGCCTTTTCTCTCCCCATTCTCACACTGTCTGTGTGACAATGGGAAACTGTATAGCCTTTCTGTGTGGTATTGTTCTAGCTGCAAAGAAGGGGCATTGCTACTAGCACCATCTCCTGGGGTTTGGGGTCCGTGTGGAGACCATAGGGTGTGCTCCATTCTTGGCTGAGGAATCCACTTTGTATTCTTCGAAAAGCTTTCTTGAGCTACTCCAGGGCCCTCTTGGCTCTAATGGACTCCATATACCCTCCCCTCGCCTGTCCACCCCTCCTTATTCCTCTGCCTCTTTTTTCCTCTTCATGCAGTGAGCAGTAAACATGAGTGATAGATGACGCAGATGCGTAAAGAGGCCCACTCTGCAGGCTCTGGAGTCGCCCATCCACTGACCTTCCTTCTGCCTAGGCTTGGGATCCCTGTTTTGTTTCCAAGTCGTAGCTCCACAAGGCTGGCTGGGCTTGTGGTTTCTCTGTTCCTCTTGCACATGTCCTTCAATGCCCAGCAGAGCTCTTAAACCCCCTGGCAAGCATCTGGAAATGTCTGTCGTCTCTGGACTAAGGAGTTCTTTAGGTAAACAGTTGTATGAATGGGTACCTGGAGAATGTGAAGGCTGGTCATTCCCTTTTGGAATTTGTGTTGTTTGACAGGTGCCATTTGTATCCACTGTGGAGCTGAGCATGGCTTGGCCTGTCCTGTCCTGTCCTGTCCTGTCCTGTCCTGTCCTGGGCAGAACCTAAGTTGTTGATCCTTTCCAAAGCCCCAGAGAATCAGGCTGAGCACTTGGGCTGGTTTCCATTTTCCTTGGCAAGGAGGTGCTGAAACGTTGCTTGGAGGCACTTCCTTGGCCTCTCTTCCCAGCAGCCTGCCGGATCACTTAGCCTCTGTAGGTGATGCCTCTTAACTCTCCTCTCACCATAGTAACAGCGTCCAATGCAGTGCCATCAAGCTGTCTGCAGCGGCCTGGGCATAGAGGACCACCCTGTCCAGAGAGCCAAGGGAATCCCCTTCTTCCTGTTTACACTCTGCCTTGACTTGCCTGGCACGGCGTCCTTCCCACCTGTGAGCATCACTCTGGGCCACCATCGGCTTTGCACCTGTCATTTCTCCTCTCACCATATCCAGAGCTCATGGGGCTCCCCCCGGCCCCTTGCCCTTCTCCTTCTCCTTGCTGTGGTGAGCCAGCTCCATGGCTCCCTTCCTCACTGGAAATGTCCCCTGCCCTGGCACGAAGTGCTTCATGGCCTACCAGCACAGGTGTTCCCTGATAGCTCTTTTTGTCTGCTTCCCTGTCACAAGGATCTTGCCCATCTCTTTCAGGCAGTCCTAGCTCCTTCTGGGTCCCAGAAGCAGCTTCTGCTCTGTGGAGATTCTGAGGAGCACAGACCAGGGAAAACTCTTTCTGCCTACGGGTCACCCACCAGCCTGGACACTCTTCTCGTTTTTCCCCCTAAGCTAAATTGCCATCTGCTTTATTAATGCTTTTTGATAAGTAGCCCTGGCATCCAGGTACAGTGTAAGCTACATCAGGGCGTCTTACCTATGTAGATGGCCAAATGCAGAGAGCCCCTAGATGACCAGGGCCATTGGAGGCTGGCTGGTCCTTCCCAGCCTCCATGTTCAGCAGCTTCATACCAGACAACTTCACCTCCGAGGAAATTAAAGTGGAGCTGTACTTCTCAGGCAGAAACGCCATGATTTGGAGGCAGCAACATGGATGGCTCTTGTCTGTGACCCTATTTAAGTGTCCCTGGAATCATTTACCTAATATGTTGCCTCCAACCTAATCTGTCTTGATTGAGCAGGGCCTAAAAGCTCACTGGGGTTAATTAAGGACTGTAGGTTGATGGTGGTCTATTGAGGAAAAGACCAGCTCCATTCCTCCATTCTCCTACACGTCAGGCCCATGCACACAAGATTCCCTGCCCCACCCAGAAAGGGTGGGGCATAAAGACCAGCCCTCCCCACCATATCTGCACGGTGGTCACGCACATTCATTGCAGTGTCAGGCATCTGAACTCAGTCTGGAAGTGAAACTTGGGGAGTAGAAAGGCAGGCCAGGAGCACCACAGGCCTATCATTGGCACCAATAATGCTACATTCTTTTTTTTTTTTTTTTTTTTTTTTTTTGTGGGCTGGCATGAATTTGATAACTACCATTTTGAATCAGAGTCATCAGTGTGGAATTATATTCCAGACTCCTAAGTGGCCAGCAGACATTTTTGGATATAATTCTTTGTATGCAAGTAAGACTTGAGAGATTTAGAGAAGTAGTGAACTTCTTTCTCTGACCCGTTTTTTAGTGTTTCTGGTGCCTTTGAAATGCACGTTTCTGTCAGTCATCCAAGTGCGTTTAAAACACATTTATCACTACAAAGAAGGGTATACAGAAGTCTTGGGCCCGGTCTGGTCTGGGGCTCTTCTCTTCCAAGGTTCTTCTTACCCCTGGCCATACAGGAGGGCTCTCTTCAGGGGTGACTCTGCCCCTGTGTTTCAGGGGCTCTTTCTTCTTTTCTCACTGTAGTCAAATACTTAGATAATGAACTGTTTTAGTAATATTTCCCTGAGCCATCGCAGACTCACTGTGCTCACACTTCCTAGACATTTCCCACAAGCTTCTTCGCATGAGCGCTGAGTGCAGAGGTCTCTCTGGTTGACCCTGCGATTGCCTCTGCACCTTGGCCCTGTCATCTGCCTTCGCTGTAGCTTGTCTCCTGACTGTGGTGCTGACTGAGGAGGGCAGCCTTTGCTTGGTGGGGAAGTTGTCCTCACTTCACTTAACTCAGATCCTACCATTTGATGAAACGTAAATCTTTGGATGGAAATCAGGCTGGCCTGAGGCCTGTGTGCACAGGGGAGGCCCAGGGAAGAGGCAGTCAGGCTGATGTCATGGCCACCTTGAGCAGAGATTCAAGAGTCCTCTTTACTTTGCGACCCATAAATTCCATCTGAGAGTAGTTCTATGGTGGAAAAGATCAGAATGCAGACCATTATCTATTCACAGAGATGTTCCCCACAGTGTTGGTCACACAATGGCAAAATACTCAGGGCAAAGTGTGTAGGGGAAAAAATTACCTCTAGTGCTCAGGAGGCTGAAGCAGGAAGATCTTACAAGTTCACAGCCAGCCTAGGCTACATACAAAGGAAGATCCTGTCTCAAAATAAATAACTTAATTAAAATAAACACCTTTTTTTGAGGGGGAAATCAGACTAAAATTGTCTGCATGCTTTATGATATCAAGTATGAAAAAAAAAGTCATAGGGAAAAATAAACAGAAGCATATGCCAGGCTGCTTGGTGCAATTACGCTTTTAAATCTTCTTCTTCACATCATTCTGCACGTTGCAGATTGTCTACAAGAAGAGCACACGTAGCTTTGATCCCCGGGACAGCAGAGCAATAAGCAGGAGGAAAAATCCTCCTCTGCATGAGATTATAGAGGCACCAGGATTTGGGAGGGTAGACCAGGGCCTGGCTCGCTCAGACCTGTGAGCCATCTGGTCCCGGAGGGTGCTGGGGGGCGGGGGCACTGTAGGGCTGAGGCTGGAGAGGAACAGGCAGAGGCAGGTGTTTACCAGGAGGAGCCGCCTTTGGCCAGAGTTGGAAACTTAATGCCTTCAGGGTCCTGGCAGGTGGCCTGAGTGAGGGAGAAGCTGTGCCCTGTGGTAAGTGGGACTGTGGCAAAGCACAGATGTCCTGCCTGTAAGGAGCTGCTGCAGGACCGCGTGGTTGGCACAGGAACCCCATGTAGACCAGGCCTTCCATCTTTTTTGAAACAGACAAGTCTCACATTTCTTTAAACTGGCGCCTAACTGGCAAGTGTTTTCAGCGCTCTGTGCTGTGCACCGCACAGGTGGACAGGTGACCAGTGGACGGTCACGGCCCTGCCCTTCATGGAGGCACCCCCCACCCCCACCCCCACCCCCACCCCATCCCTCCCTCTGCCCTGGCACAGACTGAAAGGAGTTTCCTTTTGTTTGTTATCGCTGCAGAGAATGAGCCTCCGTCCCCTCTGGTGTCTGGCATTATTGACTACAACATGCCCCTCACCTCTACCTACTTGAAGCAGATGAAGCTGCGAGTGATGAACTCTCAGGAGCAGGTAAGGTCCCTGCTGGCTCCCCCAGAGACCAGGAGGCATGGCTGTGGTCAAGTCTTTCCAGAACTGGGGGCCCACGGCAGCCTGTGTAAACTGTGGCAAATCAAAGAGACCCTTATCTGGTCACCTGGTCCCTAGCCAGCAGAGAGGGTGGGAGTGTACCTTCCCTGGAGGTATTTCTGAACCCTGGAAACTCGGCCTTGCTGGGCTTTCCCCAAGGACCTTCAAGGGAGGGTTGCTTCAGAACCGCAGACCTCACAGACCTTGGCTCTCAGGCCCGCCCCTCTGTCTGTTGCACGGCTGGCTGCGGCTGGCTGCTTGCCTGTGGCCTCTGTCGTTCTTGGGTCCTAGACAGGCCAGGAAGATGGGCCTTGGACAGTGGCCCAGGCTCGATAGGGCCTTGGGGCTCCCTGATTGTTCAAGACTCCCAGATGCCGTTTGCCAAGGGACGTCAGGCACCATGAACACAAGCTCTGAAATACTCCCCCGTCGCTCGTGTCTCCCCTTACAAAGCGAATAGCCTGTCTTTCAAAGAATATCTGGGTGAGCGCTGTCCTCTCCCTCTGCTGCCACCAAAATCAGGGCACCCTCCCTCACCTCGTCTTGAGTGTCCCACCTCTGCTGATATCAAGTCCCCAAGGCTTAACTAAAGGAAGGGAGCTTGTTCTCACATGGAATCCAGGTCAGGACTCTGGGTCCATGCTGTCTTGCACTGTAAGCTTCCTTGACAGTGTGAATGCGTGTATGTGCAGGGTGGGTAAAAGGCGGGGAGCCTCGTGGCTGGGCCTGGATGTGGCAATCTACGCAGCAGCTGGGCCTGTGCTGCCAGCTTTGAGCATTCAGGCCGTTTGACTTGATCTGCAGAGCCCCCCCTCCCCATTCTCCCACAACCCCAGTTTCTAGAGGCCACAGGAAGGAAGCCAGCTTTGCTCTGGAAGGCCGGCCTCTTGTGTCTGTGTTTCCTTCTCACCCAGCAGTACCTGTCCTAGATGGTTGCAGTCAAAGGTGGTGTGGGGGTGGCGGCAGGGCAGAGCCTGCGTGGGTTATGCTGTGGGGTGGCAGTATCAGGGTGTTATTGTTGTGTTAACACTTAGAAGATCTCAGTCCTACTGCACCGATCCCTGGTGACAATTGAGGAGGAATCATGGCCTTTGTTTTCCTATAACCATCCACAGTGCCACTTCTCACATGCGAACAGCCAGGCACAAAACACAGGGAGCTGAGAGCAGGGCCACGTGGCCTTTTCTCTCCTGGGGCAGGCAGCCAGATGTGGGTCGCCGCTGGGGCCAGTGTGGTCAGTGGGCTGTGCCAATGTGACCTCTCTCCCGTGCTCCTGTCAGGGTTTATTTGGTTTTAAAAATCTTACTGTAGTTTCCCTTGCAGTGGTCTTGGGGTGGGGGTGGGGCACTAACGAAGATGGGGGCCTCCCTGTGAGCCAGGCTCTAGGGCTTAGCAAATGGGGCACAGCAGTGCTGTCATGAAGCTTGTCACTCGGTGTCCAGCGGAGGGTGTGCGGCCGAATCAGGAAGGCTTGCCATAGCAAAGGGTGCCTCAGAAGGTGTTACACATGAAAGAAAGAAAGAAAAGCTCCAGACGTAGGGAGAACCTCTGCAAAGGCGCCGTGGCCATGGGAAGACAGAGCCTGTGTGAGACAGACTGAGTGTGAGAAGTCCCACTGCTAATGGGAAGGGGCCAGTCACAGCCGCGAGCACTGGGCAAGTATCTAGTGAACCAAAACTCATGGACTGATTGTCCTGGCCAGGCTTAAGCTACTCCCACAGTAAGACTGCCACAGTCATTGTCCCCAAGTATTTCTGGGAATCTGGCTGCAGCTGGGGCTGAGAAGACTCAGCATAGCCGGTGCCCCCTGTCTGTGGGGGAGGGGGGTCAGAGGGCAAACCCTCCTTGCTTACCGGCAGGTGAGGCAATAACAATATCCCACATTTCCTTGTGCCTGGCACCTGTCAATCGCCAGAGCTCTCCACTCCAGCCCTCCACCTCTCCCCCCCCCCCCAGCAAGGAGCTTCGAGGCCTCAGTCTCTCAGGCAGCAGGCAGCAGGCAGCACTATTGTCCCTGCTTTATGGCTGGCACAAGGGAAAACAAGAAATCACACTGCTCACCCAGTTGTTTATCTACAGCAGCAAGGAAGGGGCCAAGGACCAGAAGTCTCTGATGCCCCTGATTGAGTTGAAACTGAAAATACATATCCTTGCATCAGTAGCCTCTTCCTCCCACCGTGAAAGCAGAGCGGGGTCCTCCTTAGGGCAAGGGATGTCCTCTCATCCAAAGCCTACGTTGGCCTAACTTCTGCCTTGTCACTTCCCACATCTAAGACAGTTTCACTGGACCACTCTGATCACACAGTAGCAGATACCTGTAGTGTTGGCAAGCTGCTAATGTGAGCTATGTGGAAAGCAAAAGCAGCCCCCAGTAACTGGGGTCCCGATAGGAAATGTCAGTGTGATCACATACTTGGGAGGAGTCCAATCTTTCTTTTTGGGGATTCCAACATGGCACGTCCAGGAGACACCCGGGAGGCAGGGTGGTGCATGTGCGTGCACCTCACCTTGTTCTGAGCAGACGGGGAAGTGGGGTGGGGTGTTCCTGCAGCTGCCCACTCATGTTGTTTGATTCAGTTTAGTATGCTGGGAACTTAGTCCTTCTCCGTGTCAGATATTAGAAATACAGAAACCTAGCCGGGTGTTGGTGGCACATGCCTTAACCCAGCACTGGGGAGGCAGAGGCAGGTAGATTTCAGAGCTAGTTCCAGGGCAGGTTCCAGAGGAACCCTATCCCCCCCACCAAAAGGGAAAGAAAGAAAGAAAGAAAGAAAGAGAAAGAGAAGGAAGGAAGGAAGAAAGGAAGGAAGGAAGAAAGAAAGGAAGGAAGAAAGGAAGGAAGGAAGGAAGGAAGGGAGAGAAGGAAGGGAGGAAGGAAGGAAGGGAGGAAGGAGGGAACCTATTACCAGGGGCTGACATCTGGCAACCCCCGCCACACACATACATACAAAAGGAAACTCCAATGATAATATTCATAAAAGGGAAATCGATCCTCCTTGAGGTCTGATTCAGTGTAGTAAATATTTTTAGTTTCCTCAATATGCAAGATGATATGAACTTAAATGGTACTCTCTCTACAGAGACCTCCCCAAAGACCATGCCTGGGGGAACTGTCATCAGAGTGGCCACAATGAGCTGAAAATATGGGGGCATAGTGTCCTACAAGAGGCTTTATTTCCTGCCAGGTATGGTGGCCCATACCTGTAATCTTGGCCCTTGGAAGGCAGAGGCAGAAAGATCCCAAGTTCAAGGACAGCCTGGGTTAAAAAACTCCAAACAAGTGGATTTTGCTTACCAGTGTCTCTCTCTTCTAGAGATACAAAACTGAAGCCACACTCGGTTGCGAAGATGATAAATTTATCTCCTTAGAGGAGGCAGGCTAGGGAAATGTGGTGAGCTGTGAATTCTCAGGGAACAGCTGAGAACTTTCCAGGAGAAGGTCAGGTCTCAGGAAGGGATGCAGGCTGCTCTGGGGGCCTGAGTCAATCAGTAGGAACCACCTGACCTGTCACTTTCCAAGTCCCCTTCCAGAGGGTCCTCTGGGGACTGAGAACCCACCATATGGCTTTGTCACAGAATCGCCTATTTACTGCCATTCACCTTTTCTCATTTTTTCATCCTTTTGTAATAACACACAGAGTCTGTCGAAAAACCAGTAACAACAATAAGACACAACAAAACACCCCCAAATAAGAGCAAGAGGACAGTAAGAAAGATCCCATCATCCCTACCTAGCTCCACCAACCTCTATCCATCTTCAGGAGCACCGTGCTAGCTTTGCCTGGAGACCAGGGGCTGCCTTAAGAAGGGAAACCAGAGCCAGCCACGCACGCCTTTAGACCCAGTGCTCAGAAGGCAGAAGCAGGAGGATCCCTGTGAGTTCGAGGCCAGCCTGGCATACAGAATGAGTTCAAAGACAGCCTGAGCTACACAGAGAAACCCTGTCTCAAAGAAACAAAAAGAAAACAAAACAAAAAAAAAGGGAAATTATGAAGTAGAGAGGATGGGGTGCACTAGTGGACATCACGTCTAGCTCGTGTCCACGAGAGTTCCATGTTCCTTCAGTGTCCCTGTTGTCCTGATTGCTACTGAGAAGCAGTGCTTGAAGGGAGACCTTGTTGTGGAAGTCACAGTTGGAAGCAGGGCCACCTTGCTCTGCCCAATGTGAACATCACTGCACAGGAGCAGAAGCCCACACCCAGATGCTCTGTCCAGAGGGAGACTGTGCACCTGTCTCTCCTCCCAGCTCCTAATGGCTTTACTGTCCTCATAGCTGTGTGAAGTGGTGTGAGCTCCATTGTTCAAGCCAACCATCTTGCCTTCATTAACCTCTGCCCCCTCTCTTTCTTTCCCCCTAGTGCAGAGTATTATCTGAGTCTTGGGGGCAGATGGTCAGGACAGACCTACCGGACTAAGGGTATACACCTGGAACCTACAGGTTCGCTTGGGGTCTCCAAATGATTTTCCCTCCTTCCCTAAAGAGCAGACAGCTGGCACTGTTCCCAGCCAGGGTTCCAGACCACCACCCCCCACTTCACCCTGGGTGGCTTTGACTAAGGCATTTCCCTTCTTTCGCCTCCATTGTTCCAAAGTCATTTGACTCCAAAGTCAAAAGAATACATTTTCCTCATAGGATTTTTGTTTGCTTGTTTGCTTGGTTTGGTTTGGTTATTTTGTTTTGGTCTTGTTTTTTTTTTTTTTTTTTTTTTTCTGAGACAGGGTTTCTCTGTGTATCTCTTGCTGTCCTGACTCACTCTGCAGACCAGGCTGGCCTCAAACTCAGAGATCCACCTGTCTCTGCCTCCCAAATGGTGGGATTAAAGGCATGCACCACCACCTGGCTCCAAAAGATATTATTTTTAATTGTGGTCATGTGAGCATGTGTGCTGGAACCTGGGAAGCCCCTGGAACTGGAGTTATAAGTGGTTGTGAACTACCAGTGA